ATTTACAGTGCAAGCGAATCCTAGCACGAGGTAAGACTGACCGGATTGGCTAATTTCGAGTCACATGACAACAAGCGATTGCGTGACAATAACGTTACAAACATGTGGGTTGCAATACAATAAAGATTCTGACGCCGAATAATTAATCGCTAGTTAAGTTTTGGTACGAACTTATTGCACATTGTTTGTGAACAGGAGTTAAAGCTGTTAAGTTTTGGTACGAACTTATTGCACATTGTTTGTGAACAGGAGCTAAAGCCAAAAATTACAGCCGGTGCTAAGAATATTTTGATTTCAATGTTGATTAGTGTGGTCAATAAACCTATCAAGTACTAGAAAGTTGTTAAACCATTACTGAAGCGGCTCCAAAAATCGAAGCTACAGCCCTATGCGTTTGAGAAACTTTTGTGCTTTTGAATGAAGGTCCTCAAGTTCACAGCATAACAGTTGTCTATCATTGATAACCTTCCGCTGCAGTAGTATTCCACTGCCGATCAAATTCTGCAAGTGTCCCAGCCGATTTGAACCCCCTCTAAATTTGGATCCCCCCGGTCCAAATCCGCTAGCGGAATGGACCCCCCTCCGTGGATTTGGACCCCTGACAAAACTGGGTGAAAACATCATTCTTTACGTTCCCGAGTGAAAGCAGTGTGGGTTAAGGTTGACGGATAGGGTCATATGATACAAACGATGCTAAAAAGGAAGGTTTGGTAAGGCCTCCAAATCTTCGAAGGGGGTTCAAGTTCACAGCATAACAGTTGTCTTAGTAACCTTTCACTGCAGTATTATTCCACTACCGATCAAATTAAGGCGGTGTCCTCGCGGATTTGGACTCCCAAAAAAACTGAGTAAAAACTTCATCCTTTACGTTCCCGAGTGAAAGTGGTGAGGGTTAAGGTCTAGGGAAATGTGATTTCAGTATAATTATTCAGGTGATTATAGAAATTCTCGCGCTCTTCTTGGCCGAGAATGGCGTCATTTTCCGCTATAATCACCTCCGGCGAGGTGATTATAGCGGGAGGACAAATTTTCAAAATGGCCGCCTCGCGCTTTTTCGATGTGTCTGAAGAGTAAGTGAATTTAATGAAAGAAAATGCCATTCCGAGGAATACCAAACACGCCACAAAGTTTGGAGTGACACTCCTCTAAGGTAAGGTGTGAAAATCGTGCTAAACGTAAAAAAGAAACCATTTAAATTCCCGTGAAAATTTTGCTTATGTCAACATGCATAAATAAATCAAAACAACTACATTAAATTTTCGCAACACTTTATTCACTTAACAGAATGGTTTCAACAACAAACCGAATTTACCACTGACTTTGAGGAAATGGAGGTCAACGAGATGAATAAATGTTTGTCAAAATTTTACGTCAGTCAAGAGGAAAGACGGGACTTTTTACAAGAGAAATAGTCTGTTGTCCGTGCGAGCGGCTCTCGCTCAGTTGTTCACTGACGCGTGACAATGACAAATGAAATTTAACATTCCTTTGCTCATTTCTGTAACCACCTGAGTAACTATACTAAAACAATAACTATACTAAAACAATATATATATATGTTACATAGGTTATGTGATTAGGCTGTTCCGATTGCGCTGGGCACTTTTTCGGCACTTTTTCGAATTTGGAGCAATTTTTACACATTTTCAGCACTCTTGAGCACTCAATAATAATAATAATAACAACAATAATAATAATAGTAATAATAACAACTTTTATCTATGTAGCGCTCATTGCGCTTTACAAGACTGTACGGGGGACTTTACCAGATTGCTAAGCAGTTTACAATCAAATAACGGCGAATATAACAGATGCCCCCACCCCCCAATTCCCAGTAAACAGGCCAGACCACATCACAGTAATCTCGCGAAGTGGGTTGTTTCACTTCCCCTGCCTAACCAAATCAACTAATTAATAGATGCAGGAGACGGGACCTTCATTTATTCGTCCCTATCCGAGAAGACCAGAATATCTAACCATTTCTTGATCGATGTTATAGAAAGGTAGCATATTCTTCTCAATTATTTTAAGACCCTGAGTGTCGGTCCGGTCGGGCATCGAACCCTCGACCTCCCGCACAACAGTCCGGCGCTTAACCAATTGAGCTAACCTGGAGGCTTTATATAGCGCCTTTACTACAAGATTCAAAGGCGTTGTTTACAAAAATTTGATAAAGCTAGAAAGTAAATATAATCACAAGAAATTGACATTAAAACTGGGCGCTAACTACACAATAGATAAATGTACACGATAGATAGGAACTATTTATCGATTCATAAACATCACGATTGAAGTTCACATGATAAAAAAAAAATGTTTTAAGTTTGCGTTTAAAATTGTCAATTGAGTTTTCAGATTTGACATCCTCAGGAAGTTATTCCAAAGTTCCGGAGCAGCAACTGAAAAAGCTCGTTTACCGTATGAATTGAGATTAAAAAAGGGTTTAACTAATAGATTTTTATTAGAGGATCTAAGATCGATTGCGGTTGGGTGTATAAAATTGAAGGAGTTCCTGTAACATATGAATAAAGGCTGATAGTTTCGAAAGAAACTGTTTGGGGCTGCGTCGGTGCGGTTAACGAAATAATTTGGATGTATCACCAAAGTTGAAATGGTAAATTGGCCACCGTAACGATTAGAAAAGCTGACGTTTCGAGCGTTAGCCCTTCGTCGAAGGGCTAACGCTCGAAACGTCAGCTTTTCTAATCGTTACGGTGGCCAATTTACCATTTCAACTTTGGTGATACATCCAAATTATTTCGTTAACCGCACCGACGCAGCNCCCGGCACACAATGCGCGCATCTCTCAGTTAGCCCTTCGTCGAAGGGCTAACGCTCGAAACGTCAGCTTTTCTAATCGTTACGGTGGCTAATTTACCATTTCAAGTTTTGTTGATATATCCAAACTATTCCTGTAACATAGATTGGAGCGCGATCATGTAGCACTTTGTAGGTAATTGACTTTTGAGCAGAATTTGAGGATTTTTTCGCTTTTTGGGAAACATTTAGCACATTTTTCGCAATTTTCCATATGTTAAATGCAATATTTTGCCTTTGAAACGTTTTCAGTAAAGCCGAGTAATTCGATAGGGTCTAAAAGTACTTACGAGTGACCACGAGTGAGATTAAATGAAACTACCTCAGTTTGCTTACTGTGACGTCATTACGGAATCATTTTCACTTAATTTCATGAAATAATGACTTACTCACGGAAACTGAAGTTATTCACTGCATAAATGCATAGCGGACGATTTGAAAAACATGAAAAACTGATGCGATAATATTTAAAAACTTGCACTGTGGACTATACATTACAGATTGCACGGTTACGATAGGTTGAAAACAAAAACGATTTTAAGAATAGTCATAAATATGACATGGCCATTTCATTTGGCTCTTTTTTAACAACCCAATGATGTCAATGATCAACCCTTCACGATGGAAAATTCCATTTAACTTTTAAATGTACTGCAGACGAGATGTCTAGACAAGTACTTCATTGGGTTTTGCGTCGTAAACTCGCTACTCCTAGCGTCAAAGTAATAGTCCGGCTATTTTCTTAGCTTATATATCGCTTGGGTCGTGAACAATTCGTATGAATATATGTTTATCATGACAACTATTTATTACACCTAAACTCTCCGTATGATTCCAAAACTAGTATACAACAATAACCATGAGAACTAGCCAGCTAGACAACATGGGTGGCATTTTGGGCGTTTCCGCGCGCTTTAGAACGGGTTTGCGTTCTAATAGGTATTTCATCAAATTATGTGAATTTGACTGCGTAATGACGTCATAGTAACAAAGGTACTCGATTGTCGGATGGTGTTTGCAATGTCAATCGTTCTCCACGCCAATATTGTAGATGCTTTTCCTTTGACAACATGTAATTGAACAGCAGGTGAAATGTTTTAGAGCTTGGTAGTCCTGTAAAACGTTTGACGTTTATTTCCTCGCCTAAATAGCTGAATTGCAATCCTATATTCAAACTTATCTGTGTAGCTTTGTCTTGTGAGACTTCCAAAGATGGTGGACTACAGGTAGTTGACTCAGTCCGTAGATCAGTTCTCTTCAACCTCGCTCTTTTTCTCGGAGACTGATCATTCAAATCCCTCTGACACAGAAATAGGGTTGGAAAGCTGTGTTCAGGCGTTGGTTTTCCATCTACAAAGTGATTGGAACAAATCCTTACATGTTTTCCCCATTTGAAGTTTGCTAGGCCTTTATACACTTGAGAGATCCAATGTTGTTTTCTTTTTTCTTCTGCCGGAAAAGCATGGAAAATTAAATGTTGTACATAGCTTCTCTTGCACAGTTTCTTAGGATTACGCTTATCATTATCGCAACCAGCAACGATCGAGCCCGCCCATAAAGAGAAGCAACAAGAAAGGTGACGATTGATGACGATCGATAATTTTGCCCTACTAGTGCCAGTTCCTCCGAGAATTCTAGCCCCACTTTCAAGATGGCGTCGGCTACCGTGAAACCTACTATATTTCGGCTGGCCAAACCAGCCCTCTTCAGGTGTAGTGGGAATTTTTATAGAAATCGAGCACTATTCGGCTATTTATTTACCTTTCTTTTTACGACTATCTGGCGATTTTTCCAGCGCATTCGGGACATGCTTATATGATAGAAACGAAGCTTACAAGGAAAGTTTGGTGAGGGGTCCAAATCTACGAAGGGGGTCCATATCTGCAAGCAGATTTAGGGGGGAGGGGTCCAAATCTGCTTGTTATATTGGACCGGGGGTCCAAAACTGCGGGGGTCCATCCGCTGTGACACCAGTACTACTACTCTATTTTATACCAAGTATATATGACAAGTAAACACCAAATAGTCCATTTCAAATAAGGTTGCCTTCAAATGCTAAATAGATTTATTGGGCAATTTATTTGTATTTCGGTGATTATTTAATTGCCAATCCATATCATTCTCCAGATTACCAAGATGTAAAAAGCATGGTTCATCGCCTCAGAGACTGCCTCTTAAACAAGATGGCGCTACAACCATTCCGGAACGAGCAGTTAAACTATTTCAAATTTGCCTCCATTGTACTGAATGAGTTCCCAAAGGCCTTACGTCAGACGCTCAAGTCCATGTGGGACAACAGCTTGACACATCTTCCCGGTCATCAACTGTAGGATGACTCTACTGCGGTTAGAAATCTATTTCTCACTTCAGAGGGTGGCCCTGGCAAAACTAAAGTTCCTACAAACGTCTCCTATGAAGAATGGGAGTGTACCGCCCTGTTCCAGGCCACCATTTACGCCAAGTCCTTTGCTTTTCCCGACAGTAGAGGTCATCACAAAACACTTAGTGAGCTGTTCGTGAAACCTCGCAAACTGGCTCGTGGAGTGTTCCATGCATCGGTAACGAGCCCGAGCGGAAACAATGCTGAAACATTTGCACTTGCGATTGATCAACTTCGACTTTTAAGAAATTCACTATGTCGCTCGCACACCTCTGAAATTGTTAAAGCCAAATTTGACCAGTACGTGCAGTACACTAAAGACGCATTCAATGCTCTTGCAGTCAAGATGGACCCTCTTAATGTCATTGGTGGTTTAACAGAGTCAGAATTACCCACAAATGAGGTTCGTAAACTAGAAGAACGAATCAAAGAGGAATGTCGAGCGTATGTAAGTTTCCTACAACAACAGCAAAACGATCTGGAGGATATAAAACTCAAACCTGAAGCTGTGCCAACTGAAGAAGACATGCTAAAGATGCTGGAACAAACGGTAAAGGATTTGAAACAGACGCCAGTCCAGAACAAGCCAGGTAAATGCATGTTCAGTTTTGACGGCAAATAGTTTGTTCCTTGTCGTTCTGACACATGCAGCTCGATTTCAAGTCTAATATCATTTTTCCTAACTTTAATCCCTTTCAATCGAAGAAACTGTTTCCATGTGCAGATGACGGCTGCAGCTTCAGGTTTTTGTTTTAAAAAATTCCTCTCATCGTATAAGTTTTTTTTTCAGCTAAAATTCGTCAGAATTCGTAATTTTTCTGAGAGGTCTCTGGGTCTCTCTTTTTCTGAAACGCCCCGAAGATCACGGCACCCGGCACACAATGCGCGCATCTCTCAAAGTCAAACGTTGTGAAGTACGCATCATTTTTTTCGTCAAGGCTTGCATAATCGAATTGACCTGCCGGTATATATCCTACAGAAAGCTGATTAAGCTTTTCTATAAAAGTGTCAATATCCCTGAAGTAACAAACGAAGTCAGCGGTCATTATTTTTGCTTGTCATTTAAACAGACGAGAATCTGCCACCCATGAAACCAGCTAAGGACACCTCTTCACTGGATACACACATTGCTGATCAGGACAAGAAACAGGAGAAGGTCCCCTGTTCGCCGCTAAGCCTTTTGAAAGATGATTACAAAACCGCGGTTATACAATGGGAATCAGGCGATTTTACCTTGGCTCTTCAGTCTGCAAAACGTGCGCTTGACATTACGCGAACTCTGTTTGGAAAGGAGCACCCTAGAGTGGCTGAAAATCAATGGTTAGTCAGGGCTATACACATTTCTTTGGATAACTTTGCAATAGCTCTTCCGTCCTTCCAGCGTGCCCTTTACATCAGAAGAAAGTTATTCGCCGAGGAACACTTAGACACAGCTAAAAGTCATTATTGTCTGGGGATCACACAACTGGCTCTAGGCGATTATGCATTGTCTCTTCAGCGTGCCCTGGATATCAGACGAAAGTTATTAGGTGACGACCACTCAGACACAGCTCAAAGTTACGATTCTCTGGGGGCCACCCAACTTTCCTTAGGTAATTATGCATTCGCTCTTGAGTCTGATCAGCGTGCCCTTGATATCAGAAGGAAGTTGTTCGACGAGGAACATTCAGACACAGCTCAAAGCTATGATTCTCTGGGAGCCACACAACATTCGTTAGATGATTATACGTCAGCTCAAAAGTCTAAACAGCGTGGCCTTGACATCAGAAGAACGCTGTTTGATGAGGAACACCCAGACACAGCTCAAAGCTTCGATTCTCTGGCGGCCACACAACTTTCCTTAGGTGATGTGGCATCAGCCCTTAAGTCTGATCAGTCCGCTCTTGACATCAGAAGAAAGTTGTTTGGCGAGGAACACCCAGACACAGCCCAAAGTTACTGTTCTTTGGGAGCCACACAACATTCTTCTGGTGATTGTGCATCAGCTCTTAAGTCTCTTCAGCGTGTCCTTGACATCAGAAGAAAGTTGTTTGGGGAGGAGCACTTGGACACAGCTCAAAGTTACCTCTCTCTGGGAATCATTCAACAGGGTGATCATTCATCAGCTCTTCAGTCCAAACAGCGTTCCCTTGATATCAGAAGAAATTTGTTTGGGCTGGACACAGCTCAAAGTTACCTTTCTCTGGGGGTAACACAAGATTCCTTAGGTGATCATGCATCGGGTCGTGAGTCTAAACAGCGTGCCCTGGACATCAGAAGATACGTATCGGACGAGGAACAATCAGACACAGTTGATAGCTACTCTGGAATGAGTAAAAGAAAAAGGAAATAGGACGAGTTAACATCAGCTCGTCAGTGAAAACAGCGTTTGCTTGGAATCGAAGAGAAGTCAAGGTCAGACGCTGAAAATAACAACTATATTTAAGCAAATGTACCAAGCAGTAATGTTAGAAATCGGATGCGAGTAAGGGATACATGGAGTAAGGAAGAAACGCGTGAGGCTAACAAGTTTTCTTTATTCTTTCGCACGAGTGACGCATAACCTCTTTATGGGAACTATGGTTCACTTAACTAATACTGATGTGTTTTCACGTGGCTTAAATTCATTTGACGATTTATCTGTTATGAGGCCTAGGTTTAATAAGTAAAATAATCTTTCTTCATAACAATGAGGCGTCTGGAATGAGGATCGATTTTGATAAAAAACTCATAAGGAAAAGTGATGTGAAACAAAACTGCAGGGTTTATTCGAAGAACTATTTTTAATTTCTTTTTTTTAGGTGGAAATAGTGAAAAAATACTCTCTGTCTGTCAAAACAAACCCAAGGCGAAGAAGGAAAGAAAACAGTTATTTTCCGTGGCTTACTTTTTAAAAATATTGAAACTCATTAAAGAGATCAATGGTACTTCGTTGTTTTGCAACCTGAGCAAAAAAACTAATGTGAAAAATAGGGTAGATATTCTCGTTAAATTCGTAAGACCAATAAAAACAGTAATGCATGATTTTGCATTTAATTTTTTGTTTTTGACTTTTTGATTTTAATCTTATTTCTTCCTGATTCTTAATGCTACTTGGTCTTGGACCTGAAGAGTTCAATTCAATTGTGCAAAGGAGCATGACCGATATAGCAACAGAGATTGTGCAAAAAGGGCGGGCGGTTAACAAAGTGAAATTAGCGGTATGAGAGGTAATTTAAACAGCAGTTAGAGAGCGAAGTTCAGAGCCATCCTCTTCACCGTAAACCCACACAATATATTGTCACCGCAGATGTCAGTGACTAAATTTACAAACGAGAGTTCGAGCGTAATGCCTACTGAGATCGCTTGAAAATTCCGAAAGGTATTGATGAGTTTCTCGGCTGAGACAAAACACCACGTCATACCAACCACGAACTATTTTCTACCATTTTCCAACTATTTTTCAGTGAATAACATTGACCCTTAGAACCTTACAGTCCAAAGGATTGACAAAACAACAAAATCAAACAAAAAACCCACACCTTTTCCCTGTCTGTTTCCCCAGAGTTTCAGGCGAACTTAAACTATGATTTTTTTCTCAGTGTTTTATCTCGCGGGAAGCCTCTCTCTACGAAACGAGGCTAGTTTTAGTACATTAAGTGGTCAATTATGACAAAAAATTGCGTTTTCATTGTTTTTTTACAATACCTCTAGTTTGTGCCATCTGTATTAAGCGGTCAACCCGTATTTAGTAGTCACTCCGCCAATCCCCGTGGGACTGTCACTACCCAACTTGACCTCAGGAAGATATTTTGTTTCGCTTTCGTCCTCGAGGAATACAATTTGACGTCTTATATCGTAGTCTTCTGGTCTTAGTTCCTCAGGAAAACCAAGATAACGGATAACATTAGTTTTTAAGTAATTTCAGAGGTATTGAAAGGAGTTTAGTGAACGATCTAAAGAACCAATTCGACTCGGTGATCATTCGGAGCAGACAACACTGTCAATTTGTGTTACGACTCAGTTTTGATCGAACGAGTCTTTTTGGTTTCAACGCCATACTCTTACCACTACGAGCTTCTTTACCAACTTTGGAACAACTTGGGATTATCTTGGGCTCGGAAAGCGAATCTTTTGAAAGAATAAACTTGAAAACAAGCTTTTTTACGTTATGGTCGTCGAACCAAAATCGTAGACAACAGGGCCAACGTGCGAGACTTTCATAATTTATTTTGGAAGACTCTGTCAAACAGAAAGAGCAGACTTTATGATTAATAACCATTCCTATGATTCGTAGTTAGAAGAGCTTGCCTTGACTCTCACAACGTTATCGACCGTCAGTTTAAAGGAGCCGTCAAAGCTCCAATTGTTATCTTTGGATACGCTGGTAGAAGCGATATGTTTGCCTCATCTAGTTGCATCGTAGTTTGTTTAACGTTTTCCCCCGGCCCACCGTTTATACTGAACTCCGATAGTGTTTTTTCGAATAGTGAAGGAATCTTTGTCATTCTGAAAATCAGCAAAATGTACCTCGGGATGTTTCCTCGAAGTAGTAGTTGTTGTTTGCCACTGGATGATTTAATTTTGTCAGAAGAAGAACATAGAAGAATCTGAAACACGCGGTAATGTTGAAGAAACAGTTTTCGTTCCTTTCTTAAAGTGAGATATGCTAAGGCATAACTAGATCCACGCGTAGTCATTTCAGCTACATGTCCTGTTCTGTTGTTTTTCAGATGATTCAAATGTTATTATTGACAAAATCCTAGCTGTTTTAGACGCTAAATCATAACGTTGGTTTGACTTCTTCGTCTGGAGAAACATGTTTGTCTATTATCAAATATAATCTCAAAATGTGATTTACAATCGCAAAACATGTAGCAGTTTGATTTTGGAAAGCCACACTGGGCATTTCTTAATCTACAAAGATAATTTATTTAAAAGATATACCCTTAACAGAGGGGAAAATGCCTAGAAAAACAGGTCTGAGGGAGGAGGGTCCGGTGGAGGGTCCAAACCCCCTCAGACATTTTCCTTCCTTCCTGGCATGTCTTTTAAAACTATTGTAAATTTTCCCCTAACATGGTAAAATGTTAGAAATTCAGTCATTCTAACATAGTTACTATTTCATTGGGAATTCTTCAGATCCACTAATAAGATGGCACAACACCAACACATCAGCAAAATCATGGTTAGAAACGTACCATGTCCTATTTGAAATATCTAATGCATGAACATTTGTGTAAATATTTCCGTAAAGAATAAACGTATAGTATTTTATATGAAGGTTTTGAACTCTATAATTTTGAGAAATATAGCATGAAAAAATAGAGAGAACTATATGCTATAATCTATACATGTACAACACAACGAATTATAATGTAACACAGTACGTCACGCAACACTCGCGATGTTCAATTATCTCTAGTATCTAGTTTCATTCGCAATGTCGTTTACACCACAACATGGCATTGAAATAGGAAACTCTCACCCATCTGTCCCAAGAAAGAACTAACATTATCTGTAAGAACTTTCAAATAGACCCTTGATTGTCCATATCATAGCCAAAAGTACAAATCTGTCAAAACGAAAATTATTCCAAGTGATAGGGAAGCATTTAGTCCAAATACCAGCTCTCTTCCCAGTCAGAGAAGCTCCTAATACTGGCAAAAATGAAATTATGGAAATGTTGGTATCATTAAGATGTTTTTAGGGTTGGAGGTTTTGAAACCCCAACCAAAGAAAAGTTTGTGAATGTGAATCCTGATTAATGTAGGTTGGTTTGTTATTATGACCCTCACTGGTACACACGCAGGGTTGAACAAGCCATCCACATAATGTAGCCGCATTTGTCAAAGCTGAATGTTACTGCTTCCCATAGAAGCTCAAAATATTTTCTAGTTCAATCAGTCTTCTAGTTGCTGGTCGCGTAGGTACGTCGTGATATTTGTGCAATTTTTTGACGAACTCTAATACACACATCATCTGTAGCCACGTGAACCTAATGCGCACCTATTTCAGGTTTTTTTTTTTTAACAATATTGTTGGTGCCACGTGTAACGTCCTCAAGAAACTTTCAGTCATCGAAAGATAAGACGCATTTTGTTATTGATACAAGCGCTACTTTCATAGAGATCTCAGTAAACTATGTGACCATCCACTGGTGATCTGTGGCTCCGAAAAGTACGGCATGGTACATTGAATTTATGGTAGACCTTGTGACTCGCAAAATAATGTTCTAGAAAGTTGTTGCCTACGGGGGTTCATTCTTCGCATGAATTTGCATACTTCATTTGTGAGAAAGTTGAAGCAACATCTGTCACCATCCTCAAGCTGTTTTAGGACTATTTCAACGTGAAATCTACGATTAAGGTAATTTCTATTAACCCAGTATAGTTTAATCATTCAATAAGCAGATTATACAACAGAGTTTCCACCATTCGTAATTTTGAAGACTGATTACGCGATCCATTTATTGTTTCGACAATTTCCATTGCAACGCTACGAAAAATTAAGAGTAGTTTGACCCTGGTCGAATGGTTTTGAGATATAGTTACTTGATTGCTTTTTTTTCATCTTAAGATAGTAATGAGGCTAAATACTGTTTCATAGTTTATGTTCTGAGCCCAAAGAAACGGCCTGGAAATGAATGTTGTTTCTTCTGATTGAATCACATTAGTTTCAAACCACTCAATGTTTGTGTCTATTACTTCCACAATATTCAGGTTTTACATTCAAGAGTGCAAACCCCAGTCATTTCTTCCGATTCACTATTGATGTTGTCTTAAGCTTAGCCCGTTATTTAAGAGGCAGTCTCTGTAAAAGCGGTCCGATGCATTCCCGCTTTAAAAATCGATTTCTTTTAAACTTTGCCCACTACTCATTTCATGAGTGATAACAAAATCAATAGGTCGCTTAGAGCGAAGAGTCAGCTTTCGGCGGCAGCATTTTTCTAGACGGGCGTGGAGATTTTTCCCTCCTAAATGCTGTTTCATGGTATCATAAGTATGAAAAAGCTTCAAAGTGCTCAATTTAGGCGTCAACCATGGGTTGTAGACACAAGTTTCGTAAAGAATTGAGTCCGCGTTTTGTGCATTACTGGGTGGAATTTTCGAAAATGTACAAGTTATGTTGACCGGCTGTACCAGAAGTTCGCCGAAACCATAATATATTTTTATATTTCCATACTCCTCTACCCTATTTTACTTAGTCTGAATAAAAATATCAGGGGAAAGAAGTTGGAATATTGCGCTGAGCCGAGATTAAAAGTTGTATATCAACGGTCATGGCAGCAAAGGCAAAGTAGGTGTCAAACTGAAAAATAGTTATCAGTGTAAAAAACCGTTAAAAATGAAACATGTGATTTATTCTCACAAAGGAGCGACCTAGATATGGGAAGCAAAAAAAAATCCCTCAAATAAGAGGTTTGTGGAACGACGAGTAATTCAATTTGCGCCATTTTTGATGATCGGCGATGATGTCAACAACGAGCCCTTGAGTGCTGAAGCGATTTTCGCTCGGAAAAAAATTATTTTATGATATTTCGGAAAACCAAGGTGATTTCGATTACTTTTAGACTACGACAGATTCATGAGCAAAGTTTAAAAGAAGTCAATTCATTGAAGCGAAATGCATCGCCGAACCGCTTTTACAGAGCCTCTTAAGTACCTGATAACTGCTTGAGTTCGATGCCGGGTAATTCATGTCGATGTTGTTTAGTTGTTTCATAGGACTGATTTCACACAGGTTTCAGTCCAGGGTATGTCAAGAAAAACTCTGTGCCGACGACAATAAGTGCTTTTATTTTACCGAGAAATAGACTGCACTTTATAACGGTACAGAAACTTCGGTTTATTGCTTTTCAAAAGTAACTAGGGGTCTATTTGTACAATAACCAATAGGTTTCAGTCTGAGAATTTCTTAGAAATGAGAATTATCGCGCCTAGTCATCCAATCTGGGAGTGAAAAGCTATCAGTGAAATAACTCCCTGAATTTAAAGATTACAGTACAGGTTTGCCATGTAATTTTCAGCTCATCTTTAGGTTTAATGGTTCGAAAAATAATTTTGCCACCCATGGCGCGACATATAATGGCAGACAATGCGACATATTCGCCCATCTGAATTAGCATCTTACTCGACAGGAAGATATTTCCATTGTTTTAAACAATTTCGTATCATTGCTTTTTAATTGATGTTTGAGTATTTTGAAGGAGTTCTAAGTACATGCCGTTGACTAAATCCTGTTAGGCGCCAGATTAGTGGTGAATTTGACAAAACGATCAAGGAAGTCAAGACAAATTTGTGAACTAAGTGCGGGGTAGTTATGCATGAAAAACCAAAACCAATGCATAACTCGCAGAGTAAACATTTAGATATTAAATCCGAGAGTGGAAATCCTTGTTGTTTCCATAAAGAGGTAGTGTTTTTGACTCTTCAGAAGTATAGTCAGCTTTTTCCGTAGAATCCTCGATGATTTTAAAATTCTAAGTTTCGAAGCCGAATGATTAATCCCTACTTTGATTTTTTGTACGACCAGTTGCACATTCAGGTTATTTGTGGGTCTCAAGAAAAAAATAACAGCGACGGCAAAGAGCATTTGATTTTTAATGGTAATTACTGTCTGTGTTAAACCTCTCTAGTAGTATATGAACTTGTGAAACTAATGCGTACTATAGAATAAAACGAAATTAGGACATTGCCCTCTTGTGTATTATACAAGTCTTGATTCTCTGTAAATTATCTGCCGACCTCTGCGAAAAAACAGCATTGAGTGAATTCCTCCTTCAGTTTTTTGACCGTCTATTTTAAAAAACTACTTTGGAAATCAAACCTCGCTGGCAGTACATTTACAAAACTGTTAGAAACTCAAGTCCCTGCTTTTGATTCACTCTTATATCAAGTAACCACTTCGAAAAATTTAGCTCAAGCATCTCAACCGAACTCTGACAAGAGTTAATCTTCAAGAAGCAATTGGGGAAAGAACACTCAACTTACCTTACAACCCTGCACGTTTGACAAAACTACGTATTTTTGGATGAAGTTGATCATTTTCACAGCAATGACAATTGTCGTTTTATTGGTAACATTTCACTGCAGTATCATTCCACTGCCGATCAAATCATGAAAATGCCTGTCTTAAACACTTGTATGGGCAATATCCAGAAAACATCCAAATGGATAATTTGATAAAAAATAAAAAAAGGTGGTTTGAAATGCAGTCATAACAGTGCGTCTATGGCGAAATGGGGATGAATGTCATGATCCAATAATTCTGCTGAAAATACTATTTCAATTAAGGATGCCTTTTTATCGATGAATATAAGTATTGGTTAATTAATTTTCAGAATAGTATTATGATCTGTTCATGTATTATCTGTGATTGTTTAATTACCAATCCATACCATTCTTCAGATAACCAAGACATTCAAAGCATGGTTTACTGCCTTAAAGACTGCCGATAAACAAGATGGCGCTACAACCATTGCGGAACGAGCAGCTAAACTATTTCAAATTCGCCGCGATTGTAGTGAATGAGTTCCCAAAGGCCTTACGCCAGACGCTCAAGTCCATGTGGGACAACAGCTTGACACATCTTTCCGGTCATCAACTGTGGGATGACTCCACTGCATTGAGAAATTTATTTTTCGCTTCAGAAGGTAGCCCTAAAAAAAAGCAAAGCTCCCACAAAAGTCTCCTGGGAGGAATGAGATTGTACCGCCCTGTTCCACGCCACCATCTACGCCAAGTCCTTTGCTTTACCCGACAGTAAGGGTCGTCTCAAGACACTTAGCGAGCTGTTCATGAAATCTCGAAAACTGGCACATGGAGAGTTCCATGCATCGGTGACAAGCCCGAGTGGAAACAAGGCTGAAACGTTTTCACTTGCGATTGATCAGCTTCGACGTTTAAGAAATTCGCTTTGTCACTCGCACACCTCTGAAATTGTCAAAGCCACTTCCGAACGGTATGTGCAGCACGCTGAAGAAGCTTTTAAAGCTCTTGGTGTCAAGACGGACCCCATTGATGCCATTGGTGGTTTAACAGGGTCACAATTTCGCACAAATAAAGTTCGTAGACTAGAAGAACGTATCAAAGAGGAATATCGAGCCTATGTAAGTTTCCTTCAACAACAGCAACAACATCTGGAGTGCATGTACTCAGATGTGAAAGCCTTAAAACGCAAAATGGAAGTTATGCCAACTAAAGACGACATCGTCAAGATTCTAGAACAAATGATCAAGAATTTAAAACTAGCACCGGTTAAGAACATGCCAGGTACAAAACCAATTGTTGAAATTACCTGTTTATATTTGTAAAATGCTTATCCCGGTAGTTTTTTCAGCTAAACTTCAACTTAATTCGAAAATTTCTTCCAGAGGATACTGGGTAATTTAAAACCTAAAAGGCCCTGAAGATCGCTCAACTATTTTTTCTCGCCACCGTTTTGATAAAAACACCTGTCACACAGTGTATGTATTTCTCAAAGTAAAATTCTCAACATTTTTATCGAATTTCATAATAATTAACCTCTATTTCTTCCAATGAGCTATTTAGGGTTTTACTGAAAGATGGAAAGGATCCTATGTTTGATTTGATCTTTCAAGATTCTGAAGAATTCAAGACTGAAGATTAAAAAACAAACAGATTCTTTGAAGAATCTGTTTGTTTTTGTTACGTAAACTGAAGTTTCAGTTTACCTTAATTACTAATCATGGAACGATTCCACGTAAAAATTGAGCATTACGGCATGTAGTTTATCAAAACGATTTCGAAAACCCCGGAGCAACAAACGCAGTGAGCAGTCATTGATACTTATTTTTGGCTGTCATTCAAACAGGTGAGCCAACTGAAGATGCTTTACTGAACACGGACACTGTTGACCGGGTCAGGAAACTGGAGGACGTTCCCTGCTCACCGCCGAACCTTTTGGAGGATGAATATAAAACCGCGGTTACACAATTGAACTCAGGAGATTCTGACTTGGCTCTTCAATCTGCAAAATGTGCGCTTGACATTACGCAAAATCTGTTTGGAGAAGAACACCGGAAAACGGCTGACCATTACTTTCTGGTCGGGCTCATAAAAGGTCATCTAGGGAACCATCCATCAGCTTTTGAGTCTGCAAAGCGTGCCCTGGACATAAGAAGAAAGTTGTTTGACAAGATACACTCAGACACAGCTCGAAGTTACTATTATCTGGGGGCCATTCAACAAACCTTAGGTGATTATAAATTAGCTCTTGAGTCTACACAGCGTGCCCTGGATATCAGAAAAAAGTTGATTGCCAAGAAGCACTCAGACAAAGCTCGAAGTTACCATAATCTGGAGGCCATTCAACCTACCCGAGGTGATTATAAATCACCCCTTGAGTGTACACAGCGTGCCGAAGATATCAGAAGAATGTTGTTTGGCGAGGAACACTCAAGCACAACCCAAAGCCACGATTCCCTGGGGGACACACAATATTTCTTAGGTGACTATAAACCATCTCTTGGGTCTACACATCGTGCCCTTGACATCAGGAAAAAGTTGTTTGACGAGGAATACTCAGACATAGGTCAAAGCTACGATACTCTGGGGCCCATACGACACTCCTTAGGTGATTACAAATCAGCCCTTAAGTCTACACAGCGTGCCGGTGACATCAGAAAAGACTGAACGATAGACTTTCTATTTAACCTTAGTGTCAGGCTGTTAAAAATGAAAAATAAAAAAACCATGAAAGTTTTAGAGGGTTGTGGGTTAAGGAAGAAACTTATGAGGAGAGCGGAGCCCTTTCCAGTGTTTCGTGCCATAATGAACACGACCTTTTTCTTTCTTGAGCGCTGTGCAGGTAGCCTAAGCATACTAAAAAATTTCGTTAAAATTGTTGTGCTTATTCATCGTGGTAAGGTACAATAATAATAAAGTGTTATCGTTCGTCTCACGAAACTGCATACTGCTAGTCTTCATCAGGCGATAAGGTCGACTGGTTTCAGGTATTCTTAGAAAGCAGGATGCTGCGCTGTGATTGGTTGTCATTCCACAAGCGTTTCGATCCTCGATGTTTGTGAGTTGTTCTCTCGCCAGTCCGCCCGCTGTTGTACGGCTCCTGTTGTTGCGTTTTTTGATCGTGGGCATCCACGCTTCAGGAATTTCTATTCCACTGTCCCTGCTGATGTTGTTAGGGTGAAGTGTTATGTGAATAGCCTCTTTGACCCTGCGAGTGTACCAGTGAAGATCACGATCAATGAGCTTAACCTTATTTCAAAGCAGTTGGTGTCCGGTGTTGTGATTAGACCTTTACTTAACACATTATACTTATTATGATTATTATACTTTGGTTTACATCGACCAGTTAAACCATCAAAATTAAAATATAAGAAATCATGTGACTCAGTTAAACTTTACAGAAATGCATTATACTTCTGGAAGCTATGTAAAAATCTATTATTCTGTTCCATAATATTGAACCCGAACGATGAATCGATTGCTTCGTATAACCTGTGTTAAAATGTGAAACTGCTACGTGATGTTTACTTCTTGACATTATGCTATAAGAATTTTCAACACACGTATGCAATATACTTTACAGGCACTTAGGGAACTAAGTTATTAAAAGCCTTATAAACAAACTTCATTCACCTTAATTTATACGCTATGAGTTTACCAGCTTACTTTATCTAATATCTCGTCACCGCTAAATTGTTAATGAGGAAATTATAAATAACCTTAACAGTTCTTATGTGTAATTTTTCTAACCTCTGAAATTGTCCACTGTTCGATGAACTTCCCCACACAGGAAGGGCATAGGTCACTGAGGGTAGTAAACCTTTGAAGTAAAGATCAGCAAGCTAATTCGTTGGTAAAAAGTAGCTTCTTTTGAGTAAGTTCAACTTATTGAGAAATCCTTTCTTTACATCGGCTGGATGCGATGTCCAATTTAGCTCGTTATCCACTATGACTCCTAGAAGTCGTGTGCTATTAATCCATTTAACAACGTTGTTAAGGACATTGGCCAGAAGGCTCTTTTTTTGATTGATTATTGATTAGTTCACTAATTTCAGAATGATCTTAGATAGCCACATAGTTACAATGCTTATCTGTTTTTCTGTATTTCAATTGGTTTTGTAATCGGACCTTTCAGCGTCACCACGCGCATATAAAAGGCTAATTTAGCGTCCCTTTAATCAGTTCTTCGTAAGTTTTGAACAGCCTTGGTAAACTTTCGCCCTTTCGTTTTCTCAACCTCTGGCACAAGCGGGACCGATATGTGAGTACCTTTGCAACTTTGTTTTTTCCTTTCCAGTCTTTTCAGTGTTGGGCGACAATAGACAAACAAATATTGCAATGATCTGTATAGATTTAAGATTTAAAGGCCAAATTCGTGCCAATTTGCGAGTCAGTGAACGCCCATCATTTAGATAGAACAATGGGCTGTTTATCAGTCATCAAAACTCCTTTAGTTTGTTTCCAAAATTTTGTCCTGTTTTACTTGTATTGTTAATCTCGTTATAGACTTTAGAGCCTAGTATTTAACACGCGACTCTTTGATCATGTATTCCGTAGCTTTTCGTTAGATTGATAGAGCTTCGTTGTATTGTTGTTTCAGTTTACGATCGATCGTTCGATAGATTGATTGACTGTCAGAATAATCGTTATTTTCGTCCTTGATTGTGGTTCGTGGTCGATTGCCTTTCAAGAATAAAGATTCGTGCAAACAGTCAACTTTGGGTTGTCATTTCGATCAGTAAAATAGTCCCAAACACCTCGTTAACCGCGTTTTGGAGCGACACGCCCTTGAACTTGAGAATTTAGATTTTGGTCGCCGTAAACGCTACAAACGTTTTACCAATGTGAAGAGAGTTTATTGGGCCCTGCAAAGATCCTCTGTAAAAGAACATTGCTTCGCCTTTGGTTGGATCAAGAATTGTGGGCGTGCTCTGAAATGGCGGCGGTCTGGGCACGGACTAGGCGGATGTCTCGGTCGTGCTTTATTCTGTCTTGCATTGGTCTTCCAGTCTTATCGATGTAAACTTTGCAGCATTCACAGGGAATCCCGTAGACTATGCCATCTTGTTTGGCTGAATCAACAGCATCTTGCGCTTTAACTAGCTCTGATCTTAGTTTAGTTTCCGACTTAAAGACTGCGTAAGCCTGTTACTGTCGGCAGCGGCGTAGCTGTTCGGAAAGACCTTTAACATAAGGTAATACTGTGGTGGATTTGAACTCGATTGCGGGCTCGCCTTCATCATCCACTGGACGATGAACAAGCCTGTGAACTGAAAACGCTACATTGACAACACCTCTACCAGCCTGGATCATAAAAACGTCGATAACTTCCTACAGCATCTAAACAATCAGCACCGCTTTATCCACTTCACCATGGAGACAGAGAATGACACCAAACTAGCCTTCCTCGACTCTGCAGTTTCAAGAGAACCTGACGGCCGCCTCACCACCATCGTGTACAAGAAGTCCACACACACTTAGTATTTAGCGTATAATTCACACCACCTACAATCAGTAAAACGCGGTATTGTTAAGTGTCTCCACGAGCGCGCCACACGCCTCATAACGAAACCCTCTGTTATCTCCAAGGAGAAGAACACTTGTCATCCGTTCACATCTCCAAAAAGTTATCTTATTTCTTTCTTTTAGAATTTCACCAGAACCAGGAATCCAACCAATTGAGTTCAAATCCACCGCAGTGTTACCTTATGTTAAAGGTATTTCCGAACAGCTACGCCGCTGCCTATAACAACAGGGCGTACACGCAGTCTTCAAGTCGGAAACTTCAGTAAGATCAGAGCTAGTGAGAGCGGAAGACGCCGTTGATCTGGCCAAACAAGACGGCGTAGTTTACAGGATTCCCTGTCAATACGGCAAAGTTTACATCGATGAGACTGGAAGACCAATGCATGACAGAACAACGAAGCACGCCAACAACACTGGACACCAAATGATTTGGAATGAGGTTAAGTTTATAAACTCCTGAAGCGTGGATGCCCACGATCAAAAAACGCAACAACAGGAGAGCCATACGACAGCGGATCGGCGAGAGAACAACTCACTAACATCGAGGATGGAAATGCGTGTGGAATACCAACCAATCACAGCGGAGCATCCTGCTTTATAAAAATAACCGAAATCAGTCGACCTTATCGCCTGATGAAGACTAGCAGTATGCAGTCCAAACGTCGCAATCCACATCATAAGTGGCCATATCGTACGACAAACGATAAAATTATATTATGATACTGAAAATATATCTATACACAGTGTTTGAAGTAAGAAATCCGTAGCAATCTGTAGTTCGCTTAAGGTAAACTGTTGAAAAGACTTAGATTATAGAGACTGTGCGGAACTGAAGGTGTTCAAGAACCTGTCACAAAGACAATTACGTAAGAACTTTTTTCGCTGTCGCATGGTGTTTTGTGCCCAGTTTGTGTGTCAAGAAAACGCTAAGAAGTACCTGAAAGAATTTCCCCTTGAATCTGAAAAAGTCACCATACATGGACGACTTTTAGGATTCAACGAAAGACAGTGATGGTACAATTCAGATGTTCGAAGAACTTCAAGATCTGTGTAATAAAGCATGAGTGAAGGCTCGTAAATGGCTAAGTAAACCTCCAGAGGTGCTATCAACCATTCCCCATGAGTTCGGAGCACTCGCACTTTTAACCACATTACCTTGACAGTGACAAAGACCCTTGGGATTCTGTGGAATGCTCAAGATGTTTTCTCTTTTCTCCCTGCTCCAGCGATGGGGAGCATTCTTGCTAAGAGGTCTATCGTGGGGACAGTAACTGTAATACCTGATCCATTAGGTCTCGCCAGTCCCTTCATACTCCAGGCAAAGACCCTCCTTCAAGATTTGTGGGCAATGGTTATAGGATGGGATGATCCTGTTACTCAAGAGATTGCTATGCGAGCCAAACAACAGTTTCAGATTTGGAGATCCTAAAAAAAAATCACAATCCCTGGAAGTTTGAGAGAATCAAAAGGAGAGAGATTGAGCAGCGTTCACACCCTCGTGGATGCATCAAACAGCGCTTATGGGGCAGTGAGCTATCTGAGATGTACCTACGATGAAGAGCGTTGTAAACTCTCCATTATTGCATCGAATACTAAGGTTGCTCCTTTAACGCTCATGACAACACCGCGATGGGAGGTACTAGTAGCCGTTCTAAGTCTACATTTAACAGCGACTATCGTAAAGGCCTTGGATATTCCTTTGGAACACGTGCATTTCTGGTAAGATAGCGTGGATGTGTTCCACTGCATTAGACGAATAGGTGGAGAGGTCCGTCCATTTGTGGCAAACAGAATTGAAGAAATCCAACGTCTAGCCTGCTCGCAGCAATGGCAATACGTTGCAACCAAAGAAAACCCAGCTGACATACGCTCCGGTGTGATAAATGTTAATGAGCGGTCGTCTGTCAAAATCGAGCAGAGGTGTTGAAAATAAAAAAAATTGAAATGGACCAATACTTTAAATTTCATGACAACATATAAGGCTGACTGGCATCCTGTTGTCTTGGATTGAAGCGTTTACGTGTATTCAAGAAATAAATCTTAAAGCAAAGATAAAATCCGGGGTGTTGAACCGTGTCACGATATGACCTCATTGATCTTAGTGCAAAATATAAAAGCAGGACAAAGAGGGATACATTATTTGCGTTGGCTAAACATTCTTGACATTTTTGATAATGAGATATTTACCTGCTCTGGCGAGAAGAGAAATGAACTCACTTTCCAGCCGAGCATCATGGCATTTATATCATGTAAGATGACCTTGGATGTCTCTTTTGCACTTGGTTATGACTATGCATTTACTTTCTCCACTGGTCTTGCGGGAACTACAAGAACCACCAACGAGCTCAGAAAAGCTGCATGTCGCCATTTTTAGCAAACGAAGCAATTTCAAATAATAAGGGGGGCGTTGGAGCCTATCAGAAACCGAAAACCCGTAGAAAAAGTCATCCAAAACCGAAAAACCGAAATAAAAATCGATCAAAACCGAAACCGCATCCAAAACTGTCAAAATCGATACATTTTCGCATCCCAGTTATTAAAACCCTGATCGATCCGATACAGTGATGACAAGAGGAGCATACAGAGTAAACTACACTAATTTCATTGCAGTATTATATTTGGAACAGACGCTCGTGGTAATTAGTCGTGATTTTCCTCACCGATCGCGAATTTCCAATTTATCATGGGTGTAGATATCGCGTATTCTAAGTATATAAGGACTGCAAGTCTTCTTTAAGTCTGTATCGTCCTAAACGAGCGAGGTGTATGCACAGCGC